GTATTCAGTCAAATTTCTAAAATACCTCCCTAATTTATAAAATAACTTTCTATTTTATATAAAAATAACTCCCTAATGGTACTCTTTTCCTGGTTGAATACTGACTGATGAATGTAGCATAAACATAAATCTCATTTGCTGCTCATTTACTCCATATACCCCTCAAAAGAATTTTTTAAAAACCCATGTACAATAATATATTATGAAATTATGGCTCACCTATGAAATGAGCAATCAAACAGCAACAAAGAAACTGGACCTAACATTGTTTATTTCTCTAGTGATATCTGCCTTTGCAGTTCCAGGTTCACTAGAAGTGGATTAAATGCAATTACAGTATTCTTCTTTATGTTCCTCTAAATTCTCTATGAAACTTTTGCCTTCTATTCCCCCTTAGAGTCATTTTTGTTATATGCTAGTTCTTTAAACATTTTCATTTCTCCTATTTTTAAAAATATTTCTCATAGAACCTGATATTGCCACCATAGTCATTTAGTGTCTTATGCCTCTTTGCTTATATCCCATGTTTTAGAATCACTCTTGGTATATGGCACTCAGAACTGAACACACCACTTAAGCTAATATCTGAAGAACTGATATTTCAGAGTACATGGCACCATCATCTCCCTCCTTTTACATACATTTTTCCTATTAATGTACCCTAAATATCAATTGAACTTTTAGAACAGCCAGGTTACATGGTAATCTCACAGTACATTTACCAATAAATAACATTACTTTTTTTCTCAAAAACTTGTTGCAAACTCAGGTCTCTCTTGCTTCTTATCTATGTGTATACAGTTGATTTTCTTAACCCTAAGGTCTTGAATGTTATATCAGCTCACCGCAATAGGAGTTACAGTCTAAGAATCAATCAGTTAAAATTTGATTCTGTCAGCCGAAAAATTAGTTGCCATTCACAGATGAGTGCAGTCCATGAATAAGATAACAATGAACTGTATATCTTTATCTCTTCATCTGACACAAGTTTTATAAAAGGTCAAGAACAGGGTTCTAAACACTTGCTGCTTGACTCGGATTTTTCTAGTCAACATTCTTTAGCACACTTGCTCAGCTCTTTATATTTCCTGCTAATTATCAATATCTAGTCCACTTTTTATTGAACTTGTTGCTAGCATGGATTTTAACATTGGATATTTTTAAAAAACATTTTGACATAGACGTTTTGAAAAGACCACATTTGTGTACCTATTTTAAAACTATTAATGTTCTCATGAGACTACGTCACGTGGTCACTTTGACTTGAGGATACTATGACACAGTCTTAAAAAATTAAAATGTCATTTTTTAAATTACCAGTTAGGCAAAAATGAGAAATAAGACATCTTCATAGTTCTCATACTTATCATCCTATTTTCCCCTGAACCCCTGATCATTAGCATGGAGTTCAGAAAGGGGAAATGACAATTAATTTTTCTCATTTGAGTAATATTTAGTAAGCAAAAACCAACAAAGGGTATTTTTTTTAATGTTGGGCACAGTTGCTCTGAAGTGTTACATCAAAACAGCTTCAATTTTACAGGACATGATGCCAAATAATTAAAGGTATAGTTTTGCAGTGCAGGCATCAATAATGAGATTATTTGGAGATGTGTGGTGATGGGAAGAATGAATCTGAGCGAGAACCTTTCCCTAAAGGATGAGCATCTATGCTTAAGAGTCAGGCTGCCCTGAGTAGACCTTTGACTTTATGAAGCTGATGATGCTTCATCTCCTCTTGTGCTTGCCAGAATAATTCTATTTACACTGGTATATAAGCTTCTCTTATATTCTGAAAACTTTTTAATTTCAAAGACAAATAAATATCTACGGAACACGCATTTTAAAAGAGTTGAATGGATAGGCCACTTTGTAAATTTTTTTAGTTCCAAGTTCACAGATAGGAATCTCTAGAGGGGAAGGTCTTAAAATCCCCAGTATCTTTTTGTTTCAGCAGTAGTTGAAGGGGAAAATAGCAGATTTTACTCACATGCTCTTCAGCTGTTCCCCCCGTTTTCACAGAATAGCTAGATGACAGCTTACACAATGAGGCCTATGCATTGAATCAGAGGAATTCCAAATGATCAACCCCAGGAATAGGATTGGGCAATAACTCTGATCCAAAACCATGAGGAAACGAGGGTGATCTCCACACAAGACTCCACTCAAGCAAACAAAAGGTTCCTCTTTGCCCACCTTTTTCACCACAGATCTTGGAGTTGTTTACCTCTCAGACAAATGGAATGGACTTGCCTAAACATACGACATGGAAATAGGTATTCTCCTTCTTCCTTCCCATCCTTAATTAGTGGTTTAGGAGTTCATACCTCAAGCTGCATGGATGAGCATAAACCTCAAGATTACACAGAACTCACTGATGTACCAACATTGTCAAATACTGCCACCACTGGTTGATGGGTTGGTTTTGTATACATGGGTAACAGTCTGTGAGCAGCTTAAGGGCAGGTCTCATATCTTATTCACCTCTTTATCCTCTGGTCTAGCACAATGCCTGGCACAAAGTAGGTGCTTAATAAATAGTTGTTGAATAAACTAGTATTTTTATCTTTCATTTAATTCAGTCAGTGAAAAACTTGAGCACCTATTTATGTACCAGATACTCTAGGAAGCTGTGAGTGGACAAACAGGCATGAATCCTTCCTTAGACTTTATAGTCTAATTTAAACTGGTAAAGTAACTTCCACTCCTAACAACTGACAATAGCATTTTAACATAGGGATGGACAATACTACTGCCAAACCTCAATCTCCTCACATTCAAGTTAGTGGTTGGACAAAAGGTTCTGTAAGACTGTTTGCGTTCTAAACTTATTGTAAAGGGTATGAAATGTATAAAGTACTATGTAAATTAACTTAAGTTTTAAAATTATAAAGCAGTTTTAAAAATTTGAAAACTGTCCCAAATGGACTTTCTCCCCAGTTCAAAAGGCAAATGGATACATGCACATCATCATATAAACCACTTAAAGAATCCAGCAACTCTAGCAGTGTTATGTTGTTGTATCAGATCTCTATTGTATAATGTAACTTCTTTGAGAACATTTTACATTTGGTATCCTCTATAGGATCTAGCACTTTTAAAATAACATTCAACAAATGAATTAATGTAGTGGAAATACCTTAAAAATCACCAAGTATTCTAACCTAAATGGCATTTAGTAGATTCAAGAATCCCAAGAAATTGTACTCAAAACTGTCTGTAAACCACTTTGCAGAGTTCTTTGGTTTTATCAGTCTCAAAGAGATCTACCATCCAAAATGGTTCCTTCATTTAGTATATATTAATTGAATATCAACTACTTGCCAAGCATTATACTATGATTTAGGCTTGGAATCTAAAACTTTTTAAATAAATAATGAATATTAACTGTATCAAATCTTTATAAGATCTGCTTTCTCACATTCACACCATTAAAAATAATGCATACTCTATTACACATTTACATCCTAAATCAGCATCAGATTCTATGCAGTTACTTAATATGATATTTGCTGGTAAAATATACTTTAGAAATATATTCTCATCTGGCTCAATGGAAAAGTCTAAATGATGATAGAACCAACAGAGCTTAAGTATATAATATACAGACAGATAGATAGATACACAAGTATATATAAACACACACATACATACACACATACACATAATTTAAGAAATCTTTAGTAAATAATGCTGTCAAATTCTTTTAACCGTCTCTAATTCATCAACTATTTTACACCACAGCTGGATTTCCATTTATTCCTATCAACAGAATAGAGCTCCAATCCTTTAAAAGATAAATGATGGCATATAAAGAAAATTTCCTAAAATTGTTTTGTTCTCAGGGACTTCCCACTGACTAAAATAAATAACTCAAATTCTCTAGATGGAGAACAAAAGCACTTTTAAAATCTCAAGAAAACCTTTAAAATTTAATGATAATTTTTCCCCTTGGAAATCTTTTATCTCCTCAATGCATTAAGCGTTATCTATCTAAAGTCATTTGATATTCATATGAGCAACTATTTAAGTTTTCTGAATAAAATGATTTTTACCTTTGAGAATGGCTGCCATAGTCTTGCCACAAACATATGGAAAAGGTTATTTCCCCAGATAAAAGCATAAGCCTACTTAAAGATTTAAATCCTCATCCTCATATGCTGTTCATTTTATAATATTAAAATTCAATATAGCATGATCCAAAATAAGCATTTCCAAAAAATGGTTACATCATACTATTAGGAACCATTTGTATCTAATTTCTACATGCTACCAGAACTTAGCTGCAATTAGTGATAGTGGCCAGGAGATGGAGCATTCTCATTTCCTAAGATTTACTTCACAGACCTTTGTTTAACTCACAAAAAGTTTCCTTTAAACAGAAATGTTTTATTAATGGCACTTATCACCAATGGCAGATACGAATGAAAAACAAGGCATTCAGAAAAAAATAAGGACTTAAACTTCTCAAAAGTTTTACTAACTACTAATCATTTATATGTGAATAAAATACTTTAAAATACTTTGAATACCTTTCATCTCTCTTGTGTACAAGAAACAGAAGAAGGAAAAAAAGTTTAGAATAATATTTAGAATTATCTCAATTTTTCAATTCTTACTTCCGGCTCATTTTATATAATGCTAGACTGCTTCATAATGTATAATTATATGCTCCATTTTTTCAATGAACTAAAAACAAGTATAGTTTTAAATTAGGAATTTACAACTGATATCTTAGGGAGAAAATTCATTAAAGTAAAAATATTTCCTGAAATGGTTTTATTCAAGGCACACATGATGTTTAAATGTTTCTTTCACTTAATAAATGCTAACGAAGAGTCTTTAGATCTCAAATCTATTATATCGCTTGTAAAAAAAAATAGCATTTTTAAAGACTGATAATCCACTCCCATACATAGTGAACACATTAATAGATGTGGGTATGTGAGTTGTAGTGCATGCTTCTAGAAGTACTCCAGAAAGGGAGGTAGGCAGATGCATTACAGGTTACTCTGATTTGGCCTGGAATACAGTCTGCCTCCAGTTACTGAGTCTTTGATGGGAAGGTAAGAAGAATCCCTAATCATTCCTGAAAAAGCATAATCCAAAGCTGGCCTACAAGGCAATGCTGGTACCAACCCAGAAGTCAGATAGGGAGACATGAAACCAGACAGCCCTCTCCCTGGAGAGGAATATGCCAGCCGAAATGGACTGATACCTAGTCTAGGATTTAAGCTGTAGAAACTTGAATCACTTCCGTAAGAAGCAGAAGTAGTGTGAAGGGGAGAGAAAGCTGATTTATTTCCTAGAGTTCCAAAACCAATTCCAGCTAAACTAAAATTCGAAACTCTCGGAAAAGCTGTGTTTTCCAATGGTCCTGAATTTGCTAGGTCCCTGGTGTCTGGTTTGTGTTCTTTTCCATTTAGGATCTCTTCAATAGCTTGGACCACATCCCCTTTGCAGAACTGCAGAATGCCTTCTAGCCTGCTGCGTCTGTAACTTGGGAAAATCTTGGTAAGGATATCAAGAGGGTCTCTTGGTCTAGAGGACACAGTGGGATGGCTGGCTGTAGAATCAGTGAAGTCTTTGGCCCACTCACTTTCATTTCCTGATTCCAAATCAGAGGATGACAGGGACCTGGGACTCTCTTCCCCTCCTGACTGCTCCCCAGGATGAAGAGACTGAATGCTATCATCCTTGTTTGGGTTTTCTGAAATAGATGACCTGATGTTTTGTTTTCCAGCGACATCATTAGACTTGGGAGATGATCTCAGGGTAAACTGATGGGATTTAGACACCAGTTCTTCTTGTCCACTCTGGCATGAGTCACATTTACTCTCCTTTTGTCCTGGGGAAGAGGAAAAAAAGGAATGAAATAAAGGGAAAACTTCCAAGAACAAAGTACTGCCCACTTATAATTAATGCTGGATAAATTAACTTGTTTACTCATAGTATATTAATAATACTTATTATTCACTGTAAAAGATGTTAATGAACAAAAATTTTTAAATATCATTTGAAAATGCAGGTGTTGCAATAGTGGGAAGATGCAATTTATCATGTCATTTCAGGATCACAAAGTTCTATAATATATAAATGCTGTAGTTATTTAGGAATCAGAAGGTGAAATCTATTGCTACCCTCCAACTGTTAACGCCAATATTTTATATTATTTGCCCCATTTAGGGATTCAAAATTTTCATAAATGTTACACAAGTTTTGTTGTTATCCACATGAGGGCTTTTTTCCCACAGTGGCAATATGCAAACAGCACTAAATAAAACAATTGTTTAGATAAGAAATCAGAAAAAAAGAACAATCTTACTATTAAAATGAATATTCTATTTAATCACTAATGCTAAATTTCAAAAACTGGTTTTTTACTCACATTTCAGGTTCCAACTAAGGTACCTGAATAATCTGAAAAAATAGCAGAATTTTTCATTTCCTTTCAAATCTAAACCAATAATGACAACTGCTATACCAATCTCAAATCATATCAGAGCTTGTATATTTCATTTTATGTGAGACACAATAGAGAGTTGATATTTTTCATAATCCTTTGTAACATATGAACTTTCTCATTAAATCTCTAGACAATATCAGTAAATGAGTTTATAATCAAATTGTTTCTAAAAGAAAATAATTTACAGCACTCTTTTCACTACTGGAATCTGTTTATTTTTCAAAGTATCTTGTAAAAAATATTAGTCATTTACCTTAACTAACAACTCCCTTTCAATATTAAGGGGAATGTTCTGAAAACAATTTCACAGAAAAATATGATTTTCTATCTCAAAATGTTAAGCATATGAATATTAATAAAACAAGACTATCTTTAAATACTTTTTGCAAGGCTAATGCCAGGAGAACAATAATAAATCATTTTTATTTTTATTTACATTTACTCTTAATCTATAGATGGAGTTTCTCTATTTCCATTAGAAAGAGTAAACTGTCAATGAGGTACTAGGTTTTATTGCCAACTTTCTCTTCAAACAAGATTTATGAATGTAACAAAACACATATGACCTATAGCAATGATTTGCAATGCTCCTATGTTTTCTCAAAGAGCAGTCCTATATTCTAAGCAAATATCTATAATTTGCTTTATAAAATTAAATGTGTACAATTTAACACATTGAGAATGAAAATGCTGTCATTACGTCAAACATGACAAAGAAAAAAAGTGTTGCTTCTGCAAAATCACAAAGACTCTAGAATTTGTACCTTTAAATAAAACTAAAAGTCATCTAATGATATAGAGATAGATCAACCTTGGTCTGCCACTCCATTTTATTTATAAATATAATTCATTACATATGACCCCTTGAACATGTAAGGTATCACAATTTCATCTCTAGAGTAATTTTCATCTCTATAGTAATTTATGCATAAAACACAATATAATGTAATGAAATACTGATGGCATCAGACTGTCTAGAAAATAAGCTGTCTTTAAAATACTACAATATTGTTATGTCATCTCTTTTCTCTCAACTCCTATAGCTGGTTTTTATCATTGTATGCTATGTATTATGCTGTAGTTTTAGGACACATATAGTTTTCCTTCTTTAGAATATAATATTCTTTTGTGTAGGAAAATCTTATTCACCTCTGAACCACTCTTTGTCTAATGAATAAATACACTAGTTTACTACAGTTCATGGATATTGTATAGGAGAAGGAAGTCCATTTAGAAGTGTCTTTTCAAAAAAAAGAGGTCAACTGAGGCAAACAATAAAATAAAATAAATGATCCTATAAAACATCACACCCAAAATCACATAAGTCAATGCCTAGCAGAAGGTTGACAGTCAGATCTCACTGTCAATTTAGTTTGCAGACTTTTAATTTTTACTTCTTTTTATAGCAGTTTTGCTTAAGAACTTTATTCTTCAGCCCTCCTTGATTTTTGATGAGAAATGTTTAAACTACATTTTGTCCACTGACACAAACTAGAACATGGACAAAAAGTGACATAGGTGAAAACAAAATCATATACGTCTTATTTAAGTAGAGAAAGAGTCTTTTTCAAAAGTAAATGCTGTGATCTGTTAAGAGCTGCAATTTTCACAATTCAGGGAAGTTTTCTAATAAATAACTTAATACATCATTATATTTTAATTTCATATGATTCAACCCATCTTGTATTTATATAAAAACACCAAAATGACCTTTTTGTGCAAGTATGAAATACTGTAGAATTATGAAATTTGCTAAAATACAGTTAAGATTTATGTTAGCATGAAAGGTTAATTTGGGATAACCCTAGTCAAAAAAAGAAATCTTTTTACCTGACATAGAGGGTGAAGGCAATTTGCAGTCAATAAATAAAAACTTCTTGGATAAGAAATCTCAAAGGTTAAGATCCCCAAAGATAAGAAATTCTTGGACTTTGAAATTCATATCAATGGTTTTACAAACCTAAATTTAGAAAACCTAAATTTCTTTCCTATAAGAGGTATAACTTGAAATGTTAGAGTTTTCTACACTGTTGGAGGCTAAAAAGCTGCTGAAGAAAAGAGGTGGAATGCTTAAAAATTTTTAAAGAGTAAAAATGTTTTGGTAGATTTCAGTCTCTTCCCCTCCCCACTTCTAGTCGGTCTGTCCCGAGTACAGGTGAAGACTGTACTCCCAACCACACGTGAGTTTTCCATGCAAGATCACATTAACTCTGGTTTTACAGCTAAAAAGAATACAGAGCAAGCTCAAAATGCAGTTTCTTTCACTAAGTTTTTCACTATCTTTGCTCTAAGTTCGTCTCCTCTCACAGAGAAACTTGGGCACAAACTGCAATCCTAGAATGAGTTCCTCAGCTGATCACTAGCACTTCATTTGTTCATTTATCCTATCACTTAAGGGACAGAAAGCCCTACGGAAGTGAATGTGATAGGTCTCTAAGCAGTTTCCCAGAACTTAAATGCTTCTTTTAAGTTCTTTCTTGCCCTCCTCCATGCCATGGCTGCTTATTTCAAAGATTTTATTTTTCTTCCTCCAAAACAACCATTTTTCTTTTGCAAAGAGCAAATGTAAGATCTACTCACCTTGTTTTTCCTCTATATAATCTGGCTGGAAAATTTCGAAAACAGGGGTCGCCAGACCACTAGCCTGTCTCGAGGCACTCAGTCCCAGAGCAGTCACCGTCGCAGGGCAGCTCGAGGCCGTCTGGGAAGTCTCCATTCTGCTGCTGCCTCCGGATGACCGAGCCCCTGGTCCTAAGGATCCAGGGTACAGAAGCCGTTGCAGCCCCCGAGCCTCGCTCTCCTCTTGGGCCTGCTGTCTGCGCAGCGCCACCTGTGCGGCCATGACACGCTGGCGCTCTGCGATCAGGGTGCACTTGGCACACGCGCAGTCCCGCCAGCGGCAGAAGCGCTTGTGGCCCTTGAGGGCTGATACCACTCCGTGGTTGCGACAACGGGCGCACTTGGGTGTCCGTGGGTAGCCACCGGCCACAGCGCCCACCCCTCTTTCCAGCTCGGCAGGCGGGCAACCTCCGCTTCCGGCGGTGGAGGCTGCCCTCAGAAAGAGGCTGGACGGTCTCAGGAAAGTTGGAGGAACTGGTATCCCCGGGGGTACCGGTAACGCTGGAGACGGGGACGGAGGGGCCGCTACCACCAGTCCCGGGGCCAGGTGGGGTGGGCCGCTGCGGCTGCGGTCTCTACTGCCACACAGTGACTGCTCCATTTCCGAGAAGTGTCTGGTGAGGGAGGAGTTGCAACAGAAGAGTGCGCTGTCCGCAGCTAACCCTGCTGGGATGCGGGAGCCGAGAGGGCCAACCTTGGTCCCTCTACCTACCACCCCCACACCGACAAAGTCTGACAATTCCCGCGATGAACTGGGAACAGCCGCTTCCCAGAGCTGGAGACTCTAAGAGGCGCAGAAGTCCACTGAGCCTCTTAGAGTCCCAGGGCGCTAAGTTAATGCCTTGTTTTCCGCGCGCCTTCGCCTTCGGAAGCAAGAGGAGGCAAGACTTGCAGAGGCTACCCCGCCCACTGGATCTGCTGGCCAAGGGCTGAAATTGGGGAGGGAGGGCCGCGGCGGGACCAGACCGTCTGGGAGGAGGGGTGGTGGGAGACACAAGAGACTGCCCCTTCACACACTCGCACAAAAGCCCTTTTCTCCCACTTGCTTCTCCATGAATTCCTCAATGTATGTTTTTTTGTAAGATAATCTTCTCTCCCTCCCCATGCCTCTTTGTCCTTCGTAAATTAAGCAAGATTTGGAGTTCTTTCCCCAGTTCCTAGCTCCTCCTACGATAGTGTGAAGATTTGAACATGGAGTTCAGTTTCTTTCCTTTTCCCAGATGAAGTGTTTAAGATGGTGTGTGTGCTCAGTCGCTCAGTCGTCTCCGACTGTTTGCGACCCCAAGGATTGTATAGCCTGCCAGGCTCCCCTGCCCGTTGGATTTTCCAGGCAAGAATACTGCAGTGGGTTGTCATTTCCTTCTCCAGTTTAGAATGGTAGCACGGTCAATATTAATGAGAAAGCACAAACAAGCTGCAAATATTACCCACACCTGAAAGATACCTTATTTTAGGGCCTTAGGGCTGCGTCAAAACAGTGGATAAGTATTTAAGGGGCCTGATTCACGTTCAGAATCTTCTCATGCATCTGTTTATTTAGAGATGTACATTTGGATTCTATATACCATATTTTGAAATATTATCATCCAAAGAAACCCTAATGAATTTCTTATCTAGAACTACTTATAGGTAGCAATTATGTTAAAACTTTCAAAAATACTTCACATTTCTATTGTAAAATGTGAAGTATTTGGTCTAGATGACCATTCTTTAAACATGCTATTATTAATTGCATACTTAAAATATGCACTTAATGCCTTTAATTGTAAGAAAAGATCATATTGCTTTTAAACCAAAAGGCAATTTAAAGCAGGAAAGTAAAAAAAATAAATAAATAAAAAATAAAGCAGCAAAGTCATGAGTGTGTTCCTTAATGGAAAGGACAGTCAGGGTTCTATCAGTTTCTCCAGGTAATATTCAACTGCCTTGACAGGCAATTCATATTCTAGTACTAAGATAGCAAGTAATAATGAGATTTTTACCATTCCACCTACTGACATCCAGAGAAGACATTGCTAATCAGTCTGGGCTTTCTCTTACCCTCCCACTTCACACCAACACCACCATTACCATCCTCCCATATAGACATCCTGATAGTCTGTCATAGAACTTCCCCACCCTTCTTAAGTATTAGAACTACCTAGGGAACTTACATAAATACTCTAAACCAAGTATTCTGATTCTTTTCACTCTGAGTCTTTTAAACTCTCAAGGTGAAGATTATATATAACCAAGGTTTAGAACTGCCACTCTGGGAATTCCTAACCTCTGTGGAATCTATAATACCCAATTTTCTCAGACTTCTATATCTTTGCTCAAGCCTCTCCTGCCTAAAAGCTATTTATTCCCCTATTGTGGAACTCACATCAAATGTATGACTAATGAGTTTTCAGTGCTATATGGATCATTAAAGCACAGTGAATTACCTAGTGAGAAAACAATTCCTTTTTTCTATTATTTTTCAATGATCTTGATTACATAATGGAAAATGCTCAGCTTGGTGTAAATATGACTATCATATGCTAAGCTGTATCAATTATGCTTTAAAAAAATTAAAGCACCTCAACAAGTAACACTGTTTACCTGGAATTTGACACTATTTTTCTGTGTTTATTTTATTTTCAGTTATCTTCCCACTATGGCAAGTGATATTGATTTTCATCCAAATAAGTGAAAAAAATTCTTAAAGTAAACATATTTAAATAAAATGTGTCTATTGAAATGGAAAATGACAAAATGTGTGAAAAACTAAAAACAAACCTTGTTGATAAAAAAAAAAATAAAGGAAATTGAAATAAATTGAGAGAGAGACCATTTCCATGGCTCAGAAGATTCAACATTCTTAAGATAGTTCTACCTAAATTGATCTATAGATCAATTCAACCTCAATCAAAATTCCAACAGACTTTTTTAGTAGAAATTGTCAAACCTGCTCCAAAATTCATTTTGAAATGCCAAAGAAAGACCTAGAATAGCCAAAACATCTTTGAAGAAAAAAGGATAAATAACATTTCAAGGCTAACAGTATCTTACTTCAAGAATTATTATGAAGTTATAATAATAAAAACAGTGCATTAGTGGTAAAAAGATAGAAAAATCAACCAATATGGCAGAATAGACAGTTTTAGAAATAGACTCACCCAAAAATAGACAACTAATTTTAGACAAAGGTGTAAAGACAATTCAGTGGAGAAAGGACAGTTTTTTCCCAACAAATAATGCCAAAAAAATTGAACATCTGTTTGCAAAAAAAAATGTTTATCTTTGATCCATACCTCATAGTTATATACTCAAAATGGATCACAGACCTAAATATAAGTCATAAAATCATGTAACACAGGCGAATACCTTTGTGATCCTGGTTATGCAAAAATTTCTTATCTACACCACCAAAAATATGATTCATAAAAATAACAAATCAATAAATTTTACTTTATCAAAATTAAATACATTTCTTCTTCAAGAGGCACTGTTAAGAAACTGAGAGAAAATAGTTGTAATACATATATCTGTTAAAGGACATGTATACAGAATGTATATTCAAAACTCAATAAGAAAAAAATATTTTAAGTGATTTGAACAAACAAACATGTCACCAGGGAAGATATATGGATGGCAAATAAGCACAACAAAAGATGTTGGACACCATTAGTCACTAAGAAAATGCATATTAAACTTACCATGAAGTATCACTACACATCTCTTAGAATGGCTAAAATTTGGAAGATTGACCATATCAAGTATTGATGAGAATGTGGATAACAAGAACTTTCAAAAACTGCTCATGGAAATGTAAAATAGTATAATCACTTTGCAGACCAGTTGATAATTTCTTAAAAAGTTAAACATGCTCATATCATATAATCCAGTTATTATATTCCACTCCTAGGTATCAATTCAAGAGAAATTAAGCAAATGTTCATTTTAAAAAATTCACATTAGCTTTATTCGTATAGATGCAAATTGGAAAAACCCTAATGTTTATCAGTAGTTGGTATAATCATATAATGGAACAAACTAAAGTACACTGATACATGCTATGACATGAATGAATCTAAAAATAATTATTCTGAGAGAAATACAAAAATGAGTATATACTATATGATGTGATTTATATAAAATCTTTAATATTTATAGTCACATTAAGCTCATCAGCAGTTCCTGGAAATGGGTGGTGGAGGGACAGTGAAAAGAAAGATGGGCATTAGAGATTACAAAGGATCAAAAGAAAACTTTTGGAGATGATAAATATGTTAATTATTTCAATTGTGGTAATGACTTTACTTGTGTAAACATACATCAAAACTCACCATTTGTGTATAATAAATATGTACAGCTTATTGTATATCAATTATACTCTTATAAAGCTGTTATAAAAAATAAAACTGCTTGTTACTTCTGGAAGAAGAATGGAATAAAATAGCATTCTGAGCAAAGACAATCCTCATCTTATCAACCAAAGCTAAAGCAATGATTTTAAAAGCTGTATTTCTTCTCAAATACACTGGAAAGCCTGAATCTCTTCTCCTCTCATAATAGTACTTTGTACTCTCTCTTAAATTATATATAATTTCCCCTCCCCTGCTTTTTCCTGCATCTAACAGCAACTTAATACTGTAACTATTCTTATAAATCATTAAGATGTTAATAGCTGCAATTCAGCAGTGGCAACAGTTTTCCCAAGTGAAAAGGCAATGAGAAAAAAAACCCTTATTTTTAATTAAACTGTATACAAGTATCACAGATATGTCATTTACAAATTTATTCTAAATAAAGTAAAAGAAAAATGACTAATAAATAGGAAACATAGTGGCATATCAGAAGGAAGGGAAGCTAATAAACAGAATTTCTCCCAAGCTCAAAAACATTTATGCATCTCCTTTTTTAGTTATTATTGATTTTTATTTCAATTCCTCATTCACTCTAAACTCTTTTTTTTTTTTTTTGACTTTACAATATTGTATTGGTTTTGCTATACATTGACATGAATCCGCCATGGGTGTACATGTGTTCCCCATCCTGAACCCCCCTCCCACCTCCCTCCCCATCCCATCTCTCTGGGTCATCCCAGTGCACCAGCCCTGAGCACCCTGTATCATGCATCGTTGAAACATGTAAATTATATGTGAAATGAATCACCAGTCCAGGTTCGATGCATGACACTCTAAACTCTTATAGTCAACTGCCATTTCTTGTTGGTTCACTATACCAACCACTCAGCACAGAGGAATGGAAGTGTGAATCAGCAACTGCAAAGCAGACCTGGCTCTGGTAGTAACTAAGTTATAAGACCTTAGTCAAGACACTAACCTGGTCAGCTTCACTTTTCCCATTAACAACTGAAAACACTGTCATATACAAGGATGTTTTCAAGTCTATGGGTCACTTCATCTGTCAATTCCAGTTAGTTATTTTTCATTAATGTTCTTAATCTCTGAGGAACCTCATTACTACCCCCACTAAGGCCTCAATCAAAGCATCTCTTGTCTTTATAAAGTATCTTGTGCTAACTGGCAATAAAGGAAAGTTAAAGAGGATATGCTTAGTTTGGCTAGAAGGTTCTGTCAAGAAGACTACGGATTTGGAAGGAAAGGCTTTTAA